ACCATGTTGCCGCTATGCACATATTTGGTTTTTAACCGCCTGGCCTTGCTCGAATAGCTTTGAATATAAAAGTAACTTAGTTTTATATTCAAAGGAGCTAATTGCGTAAATCACTAACGATGGAATTAGCATGAATTTCAGCAACAGCCACTGAACTAAAAACGAGCTAAAATTCACAAGAATCCGTTTTTCTAAGGTTATAATTTCGTTCGCAATGGAAACATCAAACCGGCAACGCGGCAGAGACACGCGCAAGCGCAATCAGCCAGGAACGGTCAAAAATATCTTCCTGCCGTTCGCATACATGTTATTTCACTGTGTACATAACCTAGTTTCTATTTCTCCACGTTCTTTCATTGTAACAGTTCAGCCGAAATGTCCAAACAGAATCCAATATCCAGTAAAAAGGTAAACATATCAAGAGAACAGCGTAAATCATATACTTTTACAAGTACATGTAAAAGTATATGCGTAAAGTGTATTCTGTAAAGTTAGGTTAGACCCTTTTAATATGGAAAGTAGTGAACTGAATATCTCAATAACTCTCATTTCGTTAAAGAAATAAAGCTAATACAGTATTAAAATAAGAATTACCCTTATTACTGCATGAAGGTATTTATAATTTCCACTAACTATTAACTTTTGTCGTTATGATTATATTAATCATATTGTTTCAGATATTACCATTGATCTGGAGTCCCCATCAGAAGAAAAGGGCGGTGGTGGGCCACCCTCAAACAATTCAAATAATATAACAGCGAATCATGTTTGTTCGGGACCTGCCAACGACATGAGTGTTTGCGTGGAAACTAGTACTACTGCGCTTATCCAGCCAGTGGTATCGCCCCTGTCTACTAGTTGTAACATTTCTGAAGTAGTGGTATCTGCATCCACCGTCCAGAATTCTAGCACAATTGGTGTGTGTGTTGATAATAACAGCACCAACGAATTGAAGCCAGATCAGCTGGTTGGTAAAAATATAGCGAAACTGGTAGTCACTACTCAGCAACATGGAGCTCCAAATAGTAACCAGGTGTTGCAAAAAGTTGTTAGCAGTCCATTAATTACTGTTCTTAATTCAACTGGACCTCTAACAGTAGTTAAAAGTTTGTGTGTTACCTCTGTGGTATCTAGTACTCCTCAGTACACACTAGTAAACACTACAGCTCCTTTAAATGTCACAAACACGCTAGGAAAGCCTCCAACTATAACTGTATTGAACTGCGGCTCTTTAGCAAGTCCTGTCACCGTTGTAAAGGCCATAAGCACTCAGCAAGCCTTGCCCGAAAAACCACAATTGGAGATCAGCCCTGTGCCGAACGCTATTCCTATTGTATCTTCAACTGTAATTGAGAACAGAGGACATAATGTATTTGTTAAAAACACATGTCCAGATTCCACTGTTCCAGACAGCTCTTCTCAAAGCCACAAGTTTTTGACAGCTCCAAATTTTACTTCAGGAAACGTATGTATTATTACTCTCAATAAGTAAAATTTTAATTTTGCATTCTTGTTGATTTCAGATACTTAGCAATATTCCGACGGTTGCTAAGTCAGCGCCTGCTAATGGGCAAAGAAATAAAATGAAAATCTTGGGCAACGTTCAAATAGCAACATCATCACCACAGAATGTTATGCTAAATAAAAATGCCAATTTAGCTCAGCCGAAGTATAATGTTGCAGCAAGACAGAAGTTTGTTTCTGTAAATAGTGGTCCAATCAAGTACATTCAGAAATCATCTAACAATGTATTAACTCCAATTATAAATCCGACGTTAAAATCTCCAACAGAAAAGTCAGGAAAGCTGTGTCATCCGCTGTCAGCCCCTATGCACAAGGGACCTGTAAAGAGTTTACCGCCGAACATATATTTGCCAAAACCTCCACAAGGTATAAAAACTTTACCTCCACAACTTAAAAATATTCCTGGGCACATTCAACGAACTGGATCTGGATTGAGAACCATTCCACCACAAAGGCCACAAAAATTACCAACAAAACCAAATTATATCGGCAAGCATGCTGTTCAAGCCCAGAAGGCGAAGCAGCAAATTCATCCCAAATTGAGGACCTCTTCTACCTACAATAATACGCAGACTCCGATGACTGAAAAACAACTCACGTTCAATCAAGTTTTAACTGCTCAGATAATTGAAACTCTTAGCAAACCGAGTACTCCTCCTCCGAGTAATCGATATGAAATATTACCTGCTAGGTATGACAACGCGTTTAATTGTCCTGACAAACAAATGCAGGCTACAATAAACATTGATTCTACCAAAAAAAGTGGCTTGGATACATTGTCGTTAATATGCCACGCTGTTATGCTCGATCACAACTACAATGCTACTTTACCACCAGATTCGCCACCAAGACCTGCTCCAACCGTAATCGCCCAAGCTCAAGTTAACGGTATTCCTTCCCCGAGCATGTACTCCGGCGTTCCGAGTAAAAGACGCATTGTCACTTCCCCAAATGCATTACCAGTTCCTAGCCAGTTGAGCGTTTCTTTATCTACTAGCAACAACAGTTCCGCACTTCTAACTGCTCACGTGCCTAGGGACGACGACGCCGCTTCTGATGTATCGGATAATTCAGATAGGAAACATGATACAGAAGGCGAAGAAACTGATACTGCTCCAGAAGTAGAAGATGTGAGAAATGAAGATCATTATGGCGATTATGTGACTAGATGTATATGGTAAGTAGACTAAATAATTGTGTTTTTCTGTGTAGCAATACATTTTATTGAAAATTGAAGCATTGAAAACAGGGTGAAATATTAAACATGTTTGTTTTTGCAGTGGCTTTCTTCACGATGATGGTTACATGGTAGAATGCGATAAATGCAAAGTGTGGCAACATGTCCAATGTGTTCTTAAAAATCGACAAATTCCTGACGAATATCTGTGTGAACTGTGCGATCCATCTAAGCCAGTGGACCGGCAAAAAGCCCGCATGATTCAACAGCAGTGGATTCGCGAGAGGCAGTTGATGGAACCAAAATTACGGAAGGAAGCCAAACTGAAAGAAACCTTGAGAAATAAGGAACATATGAGCGATTCAGATTCTTCAGATGGAGAACAGGCGGTTCGTAGTAACATGGCGCCCAAAAATAGAGCGTTATCAGCATTGGGACGGAGGAAGTTGGAGAGTTTGAAAATTAATAAAAAAGATGGAAAGGAACCGCTTCAGAGGCGTCAGAAAAGAAAGGAAAAGAAAATTATCAAGAGGAAAGTCAAGCAGCCGATTAAACAGCCGGCGCAACAGTCGCATAGTGACGATGAGAACCAGGACACCGGGTCAAGCCAAATGCCTCAATTGCGGTTGTGGATCGAAAACTATGAAGAGGCTGTTACCAATCATTACTCACCCGAATTGAGAGCTCGCATATCAAGTATAAGAGTGAATGGCTCACATCTGGATTCGAGAGTCACCTATGATTCGACAGTGTGTAAATGCCGCATCCACACTCAACCACTTACTGAAATTAAATACTTGGTGAGTACTGCTCAGCTATCTCCAAATACACCGGTCATAGAGCTACGTGGCAAATACATGCTGTCGACTCAACATCGCAATTCTGGTGGATCGTTAACCACGCGACAGCATACGCAGAAACCTGGGCCTTTTCTCTTCTTCTATCGGCTACACAAAGATAACACAGAGGTTTGCGTGGATACAAGGACGTATGGGAACAGTGCCAGGTACGTAATTTGTAATTAATTTAATAAGTGCCGAATAAGAAATTTAATATTTTAGGTTTATTAGACGATCATGCAGGCCCAATGCAGAGTTGCGGCATTGCATCGAAAAAGGCGTGCTACATTTGTACATAGTATGCATAGCGTCAGTGGAGAAAAACTGCGAGTTAACTATCAAACATGAATCTCATGACCTTGCTTCGGTTGGCACCACTCACATCGCTTGTGCTTGTGGTCGACCGGATGAGTGCGCAGTAAATAAAACCACAATTAAAAAGAATGGAGACGCTTCTGAGGCTAGAAAGCGAAGAGGGAGACGTACGATGTCCTCCAGTGGACCAGCGTTTAGTTTAAAATCGCCCTTGAAGGAACAACCACCATCACCTGCAGAGGAACCTCGTAAGTCTAATTTGCTATAATAAAGTACCATTGAGGAATTTTTATCGAAATTCCGTATAAATTCTGGCTTCAAATACCACCAAATTATGATATATCATTTAAAGAAACTGTCTCTCAGAACTCTTGCATGATTTTTGAGACTTAATTGTTGCTGCACTTTACTTTAATTATTATTTCAACTATTAGCTACTTTATTGTTAATCATTATTATTTCAACAAGATATTAAGTCAACAATTATTTATTAGCAATTCCCCCGCAACAACCGGTTCTAGAAGAAGAAGAAAAACAAAAAAAAGAGGATATTGACGAGCTGCCAGAACCTGCAGTGGAGGAGTCAAAAGAGTCAATCAACAATTGTGAAGAAAAATGTCAAGTTGCTGAGCAGGTGGAAATTAAAGTAGAAATGAAAGAAGAACCACTTTTGCCGGTTTCTGTAGATCAGATAACCAGTGAAACAATTGAAATTAAAAATGAAGAGCCAGAATGTGAGGAGAAATGTCGGTCTCCATCTCCTCAGCCGACAAAAGTGGTTGAAATAGACAATGAAAAACCCATCAAAGAAGAAAAAATTAAAAGTCCCCCCACTACGCCTATTTCAACGAGGAGATCATCTCACCAAAAGAGTGATAAAGAGGAGAAAGACGCCGGTAAGGAAGTCGAGATCAAAGAGAAACCTTCAAAATCATCGTCGAAAAAATTGAGCCGCGAGGAACGGAAACTTGAAGCCATTTTGCGCGCTATAGAACAGATGGAAAAAGCCGACCAGAAGAAGCAGGAACATCAAGCCAAACAGGCTAACAGACGAGAATCTGAACCAGGCCCCACACCAAAAGAAGAAGAAAAAACGGAGCCCAAAATGAAGAGGAGACGACGTAGAGGTAGAGCTCGAACTACGAGTACGAATGCACAGTCCAGACGAAGTCGATTAAATTCCACCGATTCGTACATGACATCAGGAGATGAAAATCTTCTCTCCCCAACTGACAGCTTACATTCGAACAGACAATCTGAGAAAGAGGAAAATAGCAAAACCAAAGCAGCCGGAGTACTCTTGTCGTTGTCTAACGGGGAATCCGGCAATAAAAAGTTTTCCACCGCAGATCACGACTCGAACTCGAACTCGGCTCATTCGTCTCCTGAAACACCGCATCTATCATCCGCCTGTTTACTGGTTCAAGCTGCTGTCGAACCGCTAGAATCAGGATTTAAATTTCCCAAAACTAAGAAAGGGTAAGTTTCAACATTGTTTGTTGTCTAGTTTTCCTTTATATTCTGATAGGTTTCCTTGTTAGATAATAATATTCCTCAATTTTTTATTTTAGATTAATGAACGAGTGGCTGAATAAAACACCCGACACTATTCAAGCTGCTAGTTCGATATCTCCTGCCTCTTTGTTTCCGCAATTGAATCAGATGGTTGATGAGTCGACGAATTCAAACAAACACTTGTCTGCATTTGGTGACTCTCCTTCCCAGCGCGGTGGAAACGCAAAAAAACGTTGGTTGCGACAGGCTATCAGTGAGGATCATTCTTCTGACGGTCCAATAGGACGACCAGGTATTATAATTAAATAAGAGGTGTGGTAAACTGAAATTTTTCTGTAACTTGGGCAATAGGTTTCAAAATACTTTCTACGTTATAAACTTCCATTAGTTAGTTTTTGGTTTTTCATTCAAATTGCTCAATGATGATGGTGATGGTATGAATAGCGATGAGAAATAATGATTTTATCTTGAGTACTCTCTACCCTGAAAGTATTGGGCATTATTTACCTAATTACATATACACTTCATTACATAAAACTTGATGATTGAATAATGATTTACAAAAAATATGGTATTTAACATTGGTAAACTAGAAATAATATATTCTTAAAACAAAAACTATGCGTGGGTCGGATGATGGCTGTTAGTTAAACGGTCGCGTTGAATACTCACCATCTCTATTAAATAGCCGCTTGCTAACCTTTTAACATAGATGATCCTTCTTTGGATGAGTCCACAGTGCAAGTTGTGCATTGGATCAACGATCGATGCATCTATTGTAAATTTTGAAATCAAACAATCAATGCGTTTAATTAGTTTTAATAGTTAACTAAAAACAGTTTTTTATACCCTAAGGTAAGGTGTATGCCCCAAGTTTGGGTATATTTTGGATTAAGTATGCTCGGCGTCTGGTTAATTACATTTAAAAATTTATATTTCATGGAATATTCTCTTAAATCCCATTACTCATAAGCAAATATCTTAGTTTAGCTGTTTGCAAGTGTTTGTAAGCTGTATGTTTTGAAAGCCTTATGCAATATTTGCGTTAATGTTTTTAGATTCACCAACAATAAGCGAGGCAGTGGCCCCACCAAAAAAGCGAAAGTTACCCAGAGAATCACTGTCGAATGATAATTCACCCCCAACTACCCCAACCAGCACAGGTCCACCCAAAGTAAGTGAGACGCCAATCTGTGTTGAGAGTCATGATACAAGTGAAAATGATTTAAGCCTGAAAGTGGTCGAGCACTTTCTCGGTTCGTTTTTCGGTTGAATTACGTACGCAAAGCAAATTTGGACAGGGCGTTGTGGGCTTTTACCTTAGCGTTTTTATCAAGGTTCGTTCTCTTTGCAACCAAATTTATGTTTGGGCAATAATTGATCAACGTATTGTTTTAGACTCGCAACCTAGTCTCCCTTTTAAAATAAATCGAATGTTTGCCACATTACCTAACAACCATGTATTATTTCAAGACGTATTTGATGATTCGAAGATGAAGTGTATTTTATACGTCGATAGACGATATTGACCTGAAAGTCCGATGGATATATGAGGAAGGTAATAGGGAATCGAACAACACAATTTCCGGGGAGGCCTTTCTATTGATGATAACTTCGAAACCTCTCGACAATCTTGTCAAGACCATGTCGCTCTTTGGTTTATCTTGTAACTTCTGATTTCGTCACGATATATAGTTGATACAGAAACCCTGTAGAAGGCTACATTTCTGTAACCATGCGGTATCAGTTTACGCCTGAGAAGTAAATTGTGATATACATTGACTTCCGTAACGGTTCAAAGTAACGCTGTTTCCTGAACTGGTTGCTGAATTCTCAACGTGTGAAAAGCGTAATCGGGAATAGCTTCAGGAAAGTTTTTCGGCTTCATTCAATAAAATTTTGCGACAAAATTCCGATCTAATGATTTACTATTTTCTAATACGATTTACAATTTGATCAGTCTAACCCTTACCTCTAGGAGGCTGTAGTTTAGGTAGTGGTAAATGTAGGGTAGGAACACTATTAATATACGAATTGAGTAATCAAATAGTAGCCTTACCAAGCAAGATGGAACTTAAAACCGAAGATTCCGAGTGACATTTAAAGCCTTCTGACGAATCAAAACAATTCCGATCAGAATGGGATATCAGTAAGACGAATTTCAGGCGTCCAGTCGAATATCCTTCCACTTGAGGAGTCAACTTTATGCTAAATCGATTTAGCTAGGTGAGTTCGGCGACTAGTCGATATTTATTTCGCATACGAATGGTTTTCATTTGTATCATGACTGACGTTATAGGCTTCTGAATCTATTATTAGATTTATCTTGACTAATTTGAGCTTCTTTTATAGAGCATAGATACGCCAAGGAGTAGTCAGGAAGGATCTGTGGAAATAGCATACAGTGGTGCTGAGGGCGATAGTCCGTCGTACGCGATGGAATCAGATGCAGAATTGAAGGAAAGAGCTTCGCAGATGAAACAGGAGTTTGGCAAATCAGTGATCCTCTCATCTGTAGAGCCGATCTCGAACAACGTAGTGTCATTTTTGGATCCAAGGCTAACCAGGGAACATTCGATGTTCTGCAATAGCGACCATCTTGTTGGAACCGTAGAGAAAACATTGAGTATCTTTGGATTTCAGAGTACGAGAACCGAAATGAGCAATCCAGCTAAACGAAAGGTAATGGTAAATATATTTTTATGAGTATTCTTAATCGTAATTGTTTTCACTTTTCGTGAACTTTAGTTTCATTCAGTCGAACAAACGTTTTTATGTTGATTATTCAGGACTTATACTACTCATGGACATCAACAAGGTTTTTGATAGTGTTTGACATAGGGGCATACTATACAAACTATACAAACTCCACACACCACCATATCTACTACACACCATAAAGAACTTACTAGAAAACAGACAACTGCAAGTTCGAATTGACAATACACTCTCCTTTTCTTTTTCCCCTGAACAAGGGCTCCCTCAAGGATCCCCGTTCTCACCTTTGCTCTACAGTATATACTGCCATGACATAT